CTGAACAATGCGTTGGATTGTTCTTCCCAGTACAAAGGTGCAGGCCTTTGGAGGCACCACTCATTACATTCGGATAGTGTACACAATACCATTTTTATCACGAACCTGCATTCTCCCCAATTTACACAGAGCTGTAAAATAGAAATAATAGGTAAACAACAGCTGACAGCCCTGGGCATTCCCATGTCCAAACTGTTTTCATTAATCCTATACTCAATTCAACTGGCCTCGAACAGACAAATTTGCTCAAAAGGTACGGCTGTGGGCGAGAAACAAAACAGTCCATTTTTCCCACGAAGGCCGTTCCAGCTTGTGGCAGCTCTATATGTAGACAAAAGATGCCGCAGTGTGATGAAATGCTCTAGCGAACTGAAGAAGGTTTCTTATTGGAAATCTCTGTTCTGATTGTGATGATGTGCACCATCTAGCCCTGAGAAGTTGCATCAGTCATTCTGTAATTATACTTTGCATACTTGTTATCATCTGAAGTGGTACGATGGAGCGATTCCATTACTGATTCGATTCCACCGCTGAGAATACATTGTACGGTACTAGCAATTTCTGCTGAACTGCCGATGAAGGTTTTGTACCGGTAAGAGGAGTTCCAGGCAGGGTTAAGCTGTGGCCAAGCTGCCAGACGCTATCTGTTCCCTGGACCCCCCTCCCAAGCTTCCAGGGAAGCAGGATATTTACATGTATAGGCACAAAGGCTGGAATAGGTAATAAATTCAAACTCTTCCTGTTTTTCCCCACAATCCTAGTAAATTTGGAATTGTGCCTTTTTCTTTACACAGAAGTGATCACATAAAACGTAATGGCAAATCAAAAAGAAATTTTCCACAGTTTCTACTATAGATTCTCCAATTTACAAAAGCAATCTGACTGCACAGTACCAGATAGCAAGTACCGCTACCTCGATGCAGTAATGACTTCAAAAGAGGTGCCCTCACCCCTTCCCCATCATAGCTCCAACACAGGAAAACCAAAAATCAATACAAATGCATGTCTAAAGTTAGAAAAAAATGTTCTCTCTTACAAATTACACCCCCATGTACATGAGAGTACCTTCATGTGCCTCACAATGTCAATTTTTCCTGGACACGACTACATCAAACATTTCTACACTATCAGTTTCCATACAACTACATGTACATGTAAAACTAGGAACGAAATTGTGATCTCCAATCGTACCACAATATTGGAAACATTAATTACACGCATGTACATCCAAAGCAAACGTGACTCAACGTGCATCTGAAAGTGACCCACCTGTTAATTTTTCCCTCACGTCAAGAGAGTGCACAGCAGTGTTTTTCACACGGTAGGCCTATCCTTTCTGGTTTGTCCTCCCCTCCCACAAACAAGGCTTTTACCAACAAAGCATGGGAAGGTTTGCTACCAGACTGTCCCAGATCAGCATGCTGAACATTCTGAGGGGCTCAAGTTCAACATCAAGGTCTGTTATGCCCGTGCACCCAGACCACTGGGAATGAAGGACGAGGGGTCAGCAGAGGTCAGCACACCTGCTGCTGAGACAGCCCGCTCACAGCACGGTCACTAATTGACTAACACGAGAAATATCATGCTCTATTTAACCCCCTAGAAAGACTACCAATCTACAGTGCCCAGGATATGCTGCTGTTAGTGCAGAGGTGTTTGCTGAAAAACAAAATTCCAGACACTGTGTGTACATGTGTGTACTGAAATATGACACTGACTCTGATAAATTTCTTTCTAAGTTGCATTTGGGACATACCTTGAACATTATTTTCAATGATGACTTGCAATACCAATGCATTAACTCCTACAGTAATTAAGAGGAAGCACAGTTTTCTTCATCATCAATTTGCCAAAAGGTAGTTTACATTAACTATGAGCCAAAAGCTTTGAAAACTAGAACGTTGCCATTTTGCATATAAACCTGAAGTGGCTTAAGTACAAAAAATTACTTTTATTCAGAACAAATTTCTGAAACAAAAAAAATTAAAATGATACATCAAATCCTAAGGTTTTCAGTGGCAATGGGCCACAAATTAAATTAGAAATGAAAACCGTGGGGCAGACAAGAGAGTTTGTGAATGTACAGGATAGTTGACACTGAATAATGGACAAAGGCATTAATATGACTGCCCAAGCAATTATCTTGGGGACCCGCAACTAATCTTAATGTACATGTACAGGAGCATGTACTGTACATGTATGGGGCCCAGGTGTTGAGTGAAACTTTCAGACCTGTTTTGAAGTGTTTATTCACATCTCATGTAGTTTCGGGTTTAGTTTTAAGTGGCTACTTCATTACTGTGTACACATTTCCTCTTGGCCATTTCCAAACAATTAAACAATGTATATTGTGTACGCAACAGCTGCAGCGATTTCTTAGAACACACTTCAACTTTCCACTTGTTGCAGCAAAGGTGAAATAAAAGGTAGCAAAAACATCAATTTCATCAAACAAACAACACTCACATGCTACATGTGCCTGTATGTGAACACAAAGTGTTTGTGTCAACCATTTACAGTGAAGTGCTTTTGATGAAAAGGGTGAGCATACAATGAATTTTCTTTTACTAAATCATGGCTAGAAAAAAATCACTTGATTATGGAACTTAAAACCTTAAACCCTCATACATGTACATGTACCAGTAATTCTTTTAGAACTTTTGTAAGCTACTGCCCTGGATCTTTGAAAATTCTCTTAAGTGGGGGGAAATGCAACTATTCAGGGATTAAAAACCCCACTAAGCAATATAAATGGACACAGGAAGTTGCTGGGATCTATGTATGCATGAACTTCCTGCATCCCACAAAATCCTTCCAATTTACACTTGGGTAGATTTTGAAAGATTTGTTGCATGAAAATTAATAAATTCATAATCTAGTCACAAATACCCGGTAGCAAAAGTAAGCCACTTTGTTGTGATATTATTTCACTAAACGGAGAATCATTCAAAAGTCAGGATTCATGCACCAGTACAATGCAACAGGAGTATATTTCTCCATCATGCAACTCAACAGCTTGGTGGAGTTCCCCATTTCTCCTATTCTTCCAAACTTCCACGACTGACTATAAATTTACCTCACTGAAATAGATAACACCTGATCGGTACGATGTAGCTACTGCAAGCTGTTGGCAAACTGCAACTCACTTGTGAAATTAATCAGGAGTGCAACAGCTGCATCGGTACGTCAAATTCTCATGGGATTGGCCATTTATGTAATTTGATTTCAATTCCAACATTCACAATAAATGGTACTGGCTATGCCATTGTTACTTTTAATATTTAAGCTTGTAATAATTGGCTAGTGTATACAGTATGCACATTTTAGATGTGTATTTTTTCCATACTGTTTTGATTTAATTAATTTTTTAGTGTTTAAAATGATGAACTTTACTCTGAATGCTTGGCAACCAGTTCTACAACAAACACTACATTTGCTTCTAAAATTCCAAATAACTGACTGTTAACGAGTTATGTTACAAAGATGGAGAATATTCAAATAAAACTACATATATCTTAAAGACAGCTGAACAGTAGCACTTCCTTGGATAGGACTCAGTAAAACTTTCATTTCGTTTCCTTAAAATAGGTCATAAAAACGTTTAAAAGTAAAAATGAAACACAGGGACAAGGTCATGAGTAATTTACATGTATCTACCTTTTTTCCCTCTTTAGATAACTGACAATTAAACCAAACATTGGAAGGAATCCTGCATAATAGTCATAGGCAGAAATTTCATTGGGGGAAATACTGGATGGTTGAAACAGGGCTGGATTTCTTCCTTCAAAGCAAATAGGAAGCTGCACAGCAAGGACCAGGCTAGAACAATTTGGATGTCAGCTGCGAGACACAAGCTAATTAAAGACATCCATCGGAAGGCGTGTTCTCTTGGGTCAAGGGAAACAAATGGGAATATCCCATTATCCCCCTTTAAAGTTTTAACACGAATTTAATAAAAATAAAACCAGCAATGATGGCATCAGGCTTTGATGTTAATGAAAGCCTTTTAACTTAAGGAGCATAATGTGCAATAAGGGACATTTAGATGCACTGCTTTCACAGGTTTCCAGCAACACATGCTGTCAACAGAGTAAGTATATGTGAATCACCCATTCATTAATGATGTAGTATCCTACCAGTACCTACAAGACATGTTACCCTCTAGCAAACATAAATACAGCCTTTTCTCAAATGAAATTTTATGTGAAAACAGTTCATTTTTATGCAATTCCAAGTTAAAGTTTCAAGAAATCACAGACTGGTCTGTAACCAATTCAGTCACAATTTAATGTCATATTTATGTTTATTTAAGTAGGATAACTCACCTCCCTAAAATATCAAAACACTCCAGAGGCTTGAATTATCAACTCTCCACCTCTCTCCTGGTGTGGCCGGCCATACAATTTTTACAAACTAAGCCCCTACAAATTTCAACCCAACGGATATTACCAAAAGGACAAACAGAAAACCTGGTCAAACCATGGAGAAATAAAACTGAAAAGCTAGGAAGTTCACAAAACTGACCGAGGGGGGAACATATAATTAAAAATTCAACATTTTTACAGAGGCAAGTGACCGCACCGTATCAAAAGCTGCGGTTTCACTGCTAGACCCTTTCAAAATACAGTCTGGGTCAGTGGACGCATATAACGGGCTACCGGTTTATTGATTAATTTCAGTCTCCGCGTATTCTGTCAACGTGCATTTCGATCGAACATCGCTTGGCTTATCACATAAATTTTCGTGTTCATTTATTGAAATGGTGTAAATACGTACCTTCTTCTCCAGTCGACATAACAACTTTTACTCTATCAAATTCAAGCCTGCTGAACTTCACATGATGTTCCCAAAAGGGTGAAATAATCAGAAATGTTGTGACATAATCGCGACGATACCGTAACAGACGACATCAGCTGTGAATGTCTGTGTAGACTGGTGGGTACGTTTGATAGACTTCGATATTATGTGGCTAAGCGTTAGGTCTTTGGAACCCAGACTGCCTGAAAGCCGGTGAAGTGTGTACCTGTCAGTTCTTTATGGCGTGACTTATATCCAAAAATACCGCAGCCCATTTGTTCAGTGGTAAGTTAGTACAGAGTTATGGATTATATTGTCATTCAATCATTTTCTGACTTAATGTGGTTTTGGTTGGCCACCAGTTCACAGTTGGTTTTGAAAGCGTGATATTTTTTATTGCTGTAGTCGAGTCACTGATGGCTTCTGCTGCAGAGTTCAATGACACAACAGCTGTACTCTGCAGATAATGTAGGCCGGGGACATGGGGCTGGCCGGGAGGCTCCGTGACGAGTACCTTCTCAGGTTGCGTCGTACACTTGCAAGCCTGGGCCTCTTTTGATGCAACTCAAAATGGATATTTAGTTGATATTGAAAGGGAACCTAGAAATCAATCATAAATGATTTACATTTTTCAGCATTGAACGATGCCAAGAGCCTTGCAGAGTTCAAGATGGGATGACTTGCGGAGAGATTCACCATTTGCTAGCCTTGGGTTTTCCAAACTATTCTCATCCAAGCTATTCAGATCTCATGCAACATTGTACAATTAGTGAATGTTTATGAGTTCAAAAAGAATTTCATGAGGTGAAAGAATGTTCTATTTGACTATTCCATGAGAGGCGTAGGCTGAGTAGATGGAATGGAACATCCGTAGGCTCCACTGTCTCTGTGACAAATTCTTTCTCTTATGTGAAACATTTATTATTTGTGAAAATACAATGTCTGAATAAATAATCTGTGTGAGCACATTGCCGTTTACCTCATTTAGTCTGATTGCTGGTATGTTTCATCCACTGGTCACTGTTTGGTAGCCAAATGAATCAATGATACGTCCGTGATCGACAGCTCACTAATCCAGTTTCAGGGATTTATTCAGGTGCTGTGTTATTTTAGTAGTTGATGTATTTTTTATCATCCTTCCTATTATCTCTGTAATCTGTGGATCACTATAAATTCAGGGTCCAAAAATATGGCATTTTTATGTCCCTGTTAAAACTGACCTGTGTAATTTGATGTAGAATTTTTTTACCATTGAAATTGACATCAGACTGTCTTCGTTAGGCAATTAATTCACCCTTGAAAGGAAAGAATGTGTTCTAAACAGTGCTGTAGTCCGAGCCACTTCATCCGAGTTTGAGTCCTTGCTATCGGAGTCCTTATGTTGGAGTCATTGAAAATCAGGGCTCGAGTCCGGACACGAGTCTGAATAACCCAAGTCCTCCAGCACTGGTTCTAAACTCACAAAATCATGTGTCAGATGTGACAGGGTCATGAACACAAATTGAACCAAATTTATAGAATGGCCCAAATCTGTAATTTCAACGCGGTAGTTTTGAGTCAAATAATATTGCTTTCATTTATCTTTGCATTATAAGTGACGGAGCAATATTGAGGCGAACACCTTCAGACTGGAGAATGCGTCATTCCAGCATGAACAAACTCGGCCGAGTCATCTTGGGAGCCTCCCTGCTCGGTCTGGGGATACCCTACGTCCTAGTCGTTGCCGTGAACTGCCTCATGGGCTGGCCGAACAGCCGTCCGGAGGAGGGGAGCCGATTCCAACGGGCACTGCACCCCACCAGGGTTCTGAACCTGAACTATGTCTTCGTGCAGCAAGTTGGCATGTTGCAGTTCCTCCCCCTGTACCTTCGATTCTGGAAGTTTTACCGCGAAGCGGAAACCGTCACAAGGGTGAATATGTGTTACCCCTGGCTTCATAACTAGAGTCTACTTTAGGGGGGGGCTTTAGTTACTGGAGGAAGGCGTTGAATAAGATTTGTCGTAGTATCTAACACTGCAAAGCATTTTTTTACCTGTGTTTTCCAAATTTGTAGTCGGAGTTGGAAAGGACTAGCCTTGTGCAAGGGCTTGTCTGTTTGGGGGCCAAAATTTGTGAAGATTTCCTCATGAAATCTTTATGGCCTTTCTAGACAGGTGTGAGGCTGAATTGAGGGTCCCTTTCATTTTTTTTCATAATCTTAAAAGCCCAGGAAATGCTTTTTTTTTGGAAGGGGATAAGGCTGTTCTCCCTTGCCTTCCCTGGATTTACCAATGGTCTTAAAAGAAGACCCCTACTGAAGCCATGGCCACCAGGATCTCTGTCTATCCCATTTCATTGGAAAATTACTAGTCAACAAGTACTTGTTTGCCATTCTGACAACAGGACATCCCATATGGAAGGAACAGCAATACTCTAGATATATGGTGGCCCTCCGCTAACCAAAGCCTTGCCAAAGATGCCAGTAGTACAGACCCATCTCAGCAACATCGCAGACCAGTCTTCGTGTATGTTTATGGAGGTGCGTGGGGATCAGGTGACAAAAACCTGTACGGATTGCTGGCGCAGTCGCTGGCTGACAGATTGGAAGCCATTGTGTGTGTCCCCAACTACAGCATATACCCCAAGGTACTGCGGCTCCCGTGTACATTTAGATTAAAAGAAAATGTTGGCAATTTTCCAACTATCAAATAAATCTCCGTTTTCGGAGGGGGTGTTCAAGGCCTTTGTGTGCTTCAGCATTATGCTGCAGAATTTTGACACCAGTGTTTTAAGCATAGTATTCTCAGTCAACTCCTCCAAAGCAGAGTGGATCAACTCCCCCACCCCTGTTTACTTAAAAAAAAACATCATACTCTCCTGTAGAGTGAACTTCAGATGACAATAATAGCAAAATCCTTTCTCCCATTCAACAGCGGCAGAATGATTTTCAAAGTGGAGGTCAGTTGTGAGACCATCGGACATCAGTCAACAAGACCGATCCATTAAGCCCCACCCTATGCTGTTCTGACCCAAAAATGGGGGGCCAATTTCCCCCCTGCCCCCGTACCACCACCCGTGCTTCCATTTGATTTTACATTTTGCATTTTTTCTCATACATGTACCTGTCAACAGTGAATTTCTATCTGATTTTTAGTTGTCATTTTGTTTTGATTGGAGCGCAACTGAAACCAGCTTCCATAACAATAGCTTTATATCAACAGAACATGAGCCATTTGTTCTTTTTCGTTTTTAAAAATTCGACTGCCTTCAGGGCATTGTAACTGACATGTTACACGATCTGGCAGACACCATTGCCTGGATCAAGACATCCGAGCTGATCAGGTCGCTCGGCGGCAGTCCAGAGCAGATCATCCTGTGCGGACACTCTGCAGGAGGGCATCTCGTTGCCATGGTTACTTTGAATTTGGCCCACAGGAGTGTGACTGAGGTAAATGAAAGTGCCCTTTTGTACCCCTTGCCCCCAGTCAGCTTAAAAAGGGAAAGATCAGAATCTTACACAAAAATCTCTTGAGTTTTTAATCAGTATCCAGTGTACCTTTCCCATTTGTCATGAAGTAGAAACATCAGCAATGAGGAATGCATGTTTCTATGTTTATTCGTTCCACCCAGATATCAACATCAAAATATGTTAATTCTGTGAAAAACAATGTTTAAATCTTGGCTCATTCTCGCAATGAGATGTTTGTCCCCATCCATTCTGAAAGCATGTGTTTATAATAAATGCCTTCTACCGAGGGCTTTCCATGAAAGCCACTTAGCTTGTGAATGAACGACAACAGTCATGTAGTACTCAAGAATCTCAACTTTTTTAAATTTTCTATTCTGTATACTGCACTGTATATTTTGTATTTTGCATGCTGTGGAATTTCAAAGTGTATAGATGTGAAGTGCCTTCCACTTGTTCCTAGTCCCAAATTCCAAAGTTGTTAATTACCATTTCCAAAGTCACAGATAGGATCTTACAACTGCATAACCTTTCATACAGTGAAATATGCTATTTTCACCCCCAAAACATGCAAACATCTTTGGATTTCGTGCAGGGAGAGGAAGTGTACCAAGCAGTGATTTTTCTCAGTTTCAACACACTGCACTGGTTTACAGCACGTGGCGCAGAAAATATCAAAGCTGTTGTCATTGGAAAGTGAACAACACGAAGCAGTATTCACATGGGCACATCATGCCGACATATTGCAACCACTGCATTTAACTGCAGTATTTGTCAAATCTCACTCAGTGTCTCCTCCAAAATGAAAAAAGTGCTTCTCCAAATGATTTGAATCACATGGATTTAAATTAAACAGATGATACATACTTTTTTTCAGGTACAGAATTCTGAGACCAGCAAATCCAGCTCTGAAGCGTTGAGCCTTCTGTCTTCTGTCCGAGGCGTTATTGCCATCAGTGGCGTGTTTGACATCGCTGACCACTACCAGTTTGAATCCTGGCGTGGAGTGGAAGACATGTCCTACATGTGGAGGGCCATGGATGGTCGGGCGAATTTTGCCAAGTACTCGCCAACTTTGGTGCTCAAGGAGTTGGATTCTCAACAGATTGCAAAGTGAGAATTGGAGACCGTTGAATGTCACCCATCCATCAGTGAAGTAGTCATTGCTAATATTTTTAAGTTAACCACTGCCTGAAAACAGTGCACAGGGTAACGCATGAAAGCCAGGAGCATGAAAGCCAGGAACCTGGAAGTGTTAAATGGTACAGTGAGGAAAGCAATTCAGATTTCTTCGTTTTTTGAATGACTTTTACAAACCTGTCACAATCTGTGTTCTCTTTTTGTGACAGCCATTTCCAAATTGGGCAATCTGTGGCTTAGGATTTGTGCTATTAGGATGCACTGCAGTGACTAGCCATAGCCTGATATCAAAGACAGTGGATCAATGGGTCTCTTGGAAAATGTATTTGAATGCAAGCGATCTAAAGTCACTGCCATACCAAGGCATGAACCATGCCGTTTGATAATCCTTAATATTTTTCAGGACTTCACTGTTTTAACTATGATTCAGATATCTGAAGGGCTTGGCCTGCTAGTGACTAGAAATTCGAATGTAGATTTCACAGGTATTGGCATTCACTGTTGCAGGCTGCCACCTTTTATTCTCATCCACGGCACAGAGGATGGCACCGTTCCAGTGTCTGCCTCTGAGAAGTTTGCCTCGGCCTTGTCAGAGGACGGAGCCCCTGTTTCCTTGGTGATCGTATCGGGAGGCGGGCACGCACCCTTGGTGCTGGACATGATGGAAGAGGGCCGGCCGTTCTACACCGAGATGACAACCGTGGTCATGGAGCATGTCAAAAGGGTCTTGCCCAGCAGCACACTTCCTAGACACCTGACTCCTCCGAAAGGCTCCACTGAGTAGTGACCAATCGATGGCACATTCTTCTATGCGTCAAGCCCCATGTAAAGTGTGTAACAGCTGGACTCTGCTTTCCTCAATCCTGCAAAATCTTTCAAACGACAGGTTTGTCATAATTATTCCTTTAAACGCACAAATGAAGTTTATAATTTATTAAATTTAACTTTAAAGAGACTGGTTAAAAGATATGGTAAACTACCAGGAACTGAACTTTGCAACATAACTTTCAGCAAATGTATGCAAACGTTTCACAGATTTTTATTTCAGATTTTTTTTATAAGCTTTATATTTTAGAAATAACTGTACGAAATATTGCAATATACACATGCAATTTACGGTAATAAATTATATCAGTATGACTTTTTCATTCTCATGTGGCTCGTCAAATTGCCATTGATGAAATTAATAGAGGGTATTCATTGTTACTTTATATGGGATAACACGTTTTTAAACACAAAAATGTTTAATCTTTATCATTAAAAGCTTCACATCAATTTTTGTACTTTTTTATATTTTGCTAAATGTGTAAAAATTATCTTCAGTTTTAAATTAAAGGTTAAGCTGTCAAACGGAGAAAATTGTTTCGTAAATGAAAACTAGCGTTAACAAGAAATTGCACTATTATTCATAATTTGTTGGAGTGATTTAATATTTCAACCAAGGGTGAATCTGGAACCACCTATTTAGGGGGGAGTGCAAACTTGTTTGGGGAGCTAAAAATGTGAATTTTCTTATGTACTTCAGTCTGACCTTATTGAAGGTAAAGGCTACATTTTAGACCTTTTTACGCATTCGTTTGGAGCGAAGGGCAATGAAATAGACCAAAATATGCTTTCCTTTAATTAAAAAAGGGGGCTGGGGGCCAAGGGATCCACCCTTGATTTCAACTGATCGCAACAGTATGAATAAGAAGTCTCCTTATTCATTTCAAAATGCGCCATTAATTCCCAGGTAAAGAACCTGGACGCATTTCTGTCATACAAAGGCCTCATTACACAAAATAATAACAGACGATATTCTACAACTCGATGAGTTCTCTGAATTTCAGCCACGATTGATAAGCTTCAAATTTAGCATCATATTTTCAATTCACCTCCTTTTTCATAATGTGCGGGCACAGAGAGTTTGGATTTCAACACTGTCGTCCACAAACTATTTAATAAAAAATAAACACTACGAGAATGTAACCCAGCACCTTGGCTGCGAATTTCACACAGATTTGGACACAAGTCCAGGTTCAGACTGCAGGAAACCTTAGTTTATCGTTCCAGCAGTGTGATAATTGACCAACAGTGCCAGGTAAGTCAGTTGACCTGTAGTGGATATCAACATCAATAAACATAGCGTCCTTCCATAGCAAAGTGTGTCATAAGTGTTGTTTACCAAAGTACAGCCAATTTTCGGCATAGTGCTCAGCACACCGGTACTCTGAGTACTTTACCGACTGTCGGCTTTGCTTTTGGTAAATGACACTTATGACACACTTTGCTATGGAAGGAAGCCATGTTTGTTACCCACTACAGGATCACGTGACTTGGCAGGTGCTATCGGTCTATTAGTTTCAACAAAATCCGTCAGAGTGTTCTGGTCGCAACTGGCTTGTCCAGTTAGTGCACAACGACAATGTACCACTTCAAAAACAGCCCTTGGTATTGAACACATTCAAGGGCTCACAAATCACATCAAGTTCTGTGCTTTTTCACTGGTTCTCTAAAACAAAGGCCAAAAATGACCTTGCAAAATGGACCGCCTAAAATGTGAACCGATGAATTTCATGGTCTACATACCAGATATGTAGGCTGTACAACAGAAGTTTGGGTTCAAAATGGTATCTTAAATAACATTGTACATAATAATTTACAGCGACTGTCTTTGGTAACTGAAACAGTTACATTTTATGCAATTTTGCATTGGGAACAAGTGAACTTTAACCCTCCTATGCTAAAGTCACTCTTTGGGTCACTTGGTAAACACCTCAAAGAAGCACAGCTGTGTCATGTTGTACACTGCACCAACATGCAAGAGAGTGACCTTGGGCACTTGTGCATATTTGTGCTGTAAAACTAAAGGAGGGTTAATGATAGATTTGCGTATTTATTAAGTCAGCACGCTTAAGGAGTGTCAACTTTATAATCAGGACTGAGGCTCCCATCGTCACTGTCATCCACACCCCTGGACAGACCTCCTGTTTGCTCCGCCCCCTCCTCCCCATCCTTTTCGTCTGTTGACGACTCAACGTCGTTGTACACCTGGTAGATGAAGGTGTAAAGATTTGTGAAATTGCGTTTGGCTTTGCGCTGCAAGACTTCCGTCCGGTACCGCTGTAAGACCAGCCACAAATCACCTGCCGTGCAAAACGAAGAAAACTGTTTATCAAATCATGCCATCACGTGTGTCCTACAAGAGTCAACAGTTCTTAGGCTATGTCAGAATAACTTGGCAGCGACCAACGAAAACGCACACACCTATAAGGAAGCGGTTGCAGCCACTTCCCATCAGCCTGCATAGGCATACATACATGTATTATTCTCAACTGCATTCAAGTCATTCGGATACAGTCTTACTGTCACAATGACACCGACTCAAGGTTTTCACTGAGCACCGTGCTGGTCGAAACAAAAACTTATCGCATCTGAAACAAAAAGTGCCTTGTGATTCGACCAATGCATGTCTTGCTGTGGAGCGGTCAAGTAAAACATCAACTACAATGCTGTGTAGCTACTTGGTGACACTGCCGCTTGGACACAAAATACAACAGGACACGATAGCTTTGGACCATTCTGCACTTTGTTGCATTTTGGTTGAACTTCAAACAAACCTCATTATTCAGACTAGGCTCACAATCCCAACGCCACTGGACAGTTTTTAAGACTGCTTCCCCAAGGGCACTATTTTTGTGCGAGCCTTGCTTTTGGGAGCCTTCCTGTTGGGAATTTGAATTCCGTATTCATGTTTTAATTTTCAGTTGAAGGAAAATTGACTGCAGCAGGTTATGGACCAGTTCTGTCCAAAATGCTGCATCAGTGCTCTACCAACTGAGTAACCCCACCCCATGTTAGCATTCTGCCGATGTGTCAATGTTTTGGGGGGATGGTCAAAAGTTGTTGAACCAATACGTGCAGGGCATAGTTACACAATATTTGTTTTTTACATGCAATATTTCACACAACCGTAAGCCAAAATCATCATTATTGTGGCATTTGCCCACTTCTCCTTGATTCAGAAACTTAACAGTGGGAGTTAGTGACCTCTACCGTCATGATCCTGGTTTGAATCCAATCAGAGCCAGTGACAGTCGTTTAAATCCTAATGTCCCCAAAACTTCTCCAGCACATAATTTCTAAGTGAAATTACCAATCTGCCCATAAAATCTTGAGCCCCAAACTCGTAACATTTCACTGGACCAAAAGTACTCACCAACCGAAACCCCTTGTGCTACCAAGAACTCATTCATCTTGTGCAGCTCGTAGCAGAGTCGTTGGTCTCCGAAGGTGAAATAGGCCATGTCACGGTGGCACTCGGCCGCAACCATCATCTGCAAGAGACCTAGACAAAACAAGGACTGACTCAGACATCACAAAAGACTCAAACTCACTTTGCATTAATGTGGCCAGAATAAACAAAAACATTAAAGGTTTTTTTTTTACTTTAAGAGACCAACCTTTCAATCTTGCATCACCACCGAATGCCCCACAGCCCCAGTTGCCCGTAGCTACAGCTGGGAGATTTGCAGCCAGTGTGCCATCACCATAGAAACCACAGAAAGCCTGACAAAAATACAGTACGGTAAAAACTCGGTGTTGCCTTACTTGTGTTCAGGAATTTCTAAGAGACATCCTTGGGTGGTCCCCTAGGTCACTTCTGAACTTTTCGAGAACATCTCTGGTCAACGAGAAATTGTTGCACAGTCTCAGGTAGTTCACCCAAGTTATCTCTGGAACAGCAGGCGTACTGGAAGGAGAAGGGATTCTAAGGTGGCCTGTGAGACAAACCCGCCCCCTTTATCAACATCACCTAGCTGAGGCTGAGAGGAGCACGCATTTCTATGGGAAGTGGTTGCAGCGACAAGCCATTAACTTCCGTAACTGATTTGGAATTGGCTATGGTCCTCATGCACACACATCAAACCAACAGGTGTATGAAGAAATTACATTAAAACAGCAAGACTGGGCACTTTTCAAGGTCATTCATAAATACCTCAGGCAGTCTCCCTATTCAACAGCATGCAACTTGACCGTGTATTAACATTTGATAATGCCCGCTGCCGCTGACAAGTGATAATGCCCGCTGTGTAAATCACGCACTGGCACCTGGATACAAGACAGTTTGATGAATTCTGATTGGTTGAGAGTCTGTGTGCACGCGGCTCACTAAGCGCACGCCAAGTCGATATAACCATAAAATAAAATGGACAGAGTGTTCAGGAAAATGAAAGTAAAATTTTAGAATAAAATCGTTGGAAATCCTTCACATGGAGACTTCTTTTGACTCTCTTACTAAAAAGGGTATTTATGAATGGGAATAAACACAAGTTTAAGACCGGCCAAACACATATTAATTCCCTTAATATATCACGAATAATATTAATTACGAGCCTTAAATTCCCCATCTAGTGGACGATACGTGAGTTCAACAGTTGTGTACTTCTGAGTTTGAGCAACCGTGCTCTACGGAGGAAAATCAAGATTTGAGAAAATCTATGTAATCTACATGACACACATGGGTTTACCTTGTTGAGCTCTCTCCTCAGGAGTTGAGGTTTGAACTGATCTTCAAAGCATCTAAAGACGAGGGCATCAATGGCAAGTATTTCAGTTTCTTTACGACCCCAAGCATCCCTAAAACAGAAAGACAAAAGATAAGAAGAACAATGCTAGAAAAGCTTACCCAAATGGGGATGGATAACATCCTAGTGTTGTGAGGCTTTTGGGACGACCCAGAAATATTTCAATATTTACCAAAATGTCATTGTTTAAATAATGTGACCAACCATTCCAAGCCCAGCTGACGTAAGTTAATTTTGACTTTCCCAATTCTTCTTCCCTGCCATCAAGTTTCACCCTTCAGATCTTATATGTGGAAAGCTCTGGTAATTGTGGAACAATGACAGTTGTGGAATGTGCATTTACAAATGTACCAATTCCACATTATTTTCCATCTCACATTTCCTCAGTCTGGTTTTGGAAAGGTGGGCCACATGAGGTGCAAAATGAAAACTAAGGATATGTGAAGACAAAAAAGTTGAGTGGTCCATATAAGAACCTATCAACACTAAAATGAAGGTTTTTTTTAAACACTGTAAGGCACTGGTGTGTACTGTGTACATTAGGGAAGTCATACTTCCCTTGCCTTCCACATCTATGACCTGAGGTTCGAATCCCATCGATGTTAGCATGTGGCCCTGGTTCTGTGGGTTCTCCCTGGAGTGTCTGTCCAGGGGTTTCCTCCCACCTCTAAAAATGAGTATTTCTTCACTGTGTCCTTTGCCATCGCTCACGATCAATCTGTGGTTGGCACTTCCGCTGTCGGACAAACATGAAATAAAATGAAATTAAAACAACAATGTTACCAAACTCACCTTGGAATTGTGTCTTGATAATCGCCGTTCCAGCGAAATGTGCTTGCGTAGCCCGTGTAGTCACTAAACCTCTCAGCTCCTGAAAATCGTGAAGATCATTCCAATGAACTACATCATTTGTAGGGACGTGTTTCCCCACATTGGTCCATTAGGGACCACTACCTCATGCAGTTCTAGCTACTCAACAGCTTTGTGGAATAAAGTCAATCAATTAAAGCACTGATTGAAGTAGAAATGCACACAACAGTATTCCTCTGAAATCAACGGTAAATGGGGACATCTGTATATGTCAACTAAATCCTTTGAGTTCAAGCTGGAATTTTCGTTTTAGCTCTCTCCATTTGTATCCTCAAACTGTCACTAAAAACAACCTCAGCTGCCCCTGAACATGGCAATCACTTGCACAACTAGCCAGAGTACTGGCTCACCTTTGACAAACAGGCACTCGTTGCCTTCCAGTACTTCGGTGAAGAGTCTGGACACGATCAGCTCTGGGCAGATCATGAACCGGATTTCTTCTTGCACCAGACCATGGCCTAGGACACCCCCACCGATGTACATATTGGCAAAATCCAACTGCAGATCAGACAGAACAAGAGTGACTTCTTGGCCGACAAGAAAAGTGGACTTTGGTCCAGTCCGCTTTAAACTCTCGGAGATTTGTGCAAGGAATTTTTTTGAATCTTCAAAAAATCCTCCACTGCGCAGAGGGCCAGTGGCACATGCTGACGGTTGCCAACATTCATAAAGAAGACTTAAATTTCTGACATTCTTGCTGCAAGCTGTGTGTTCAACAGCTCGCCATTCAAAAGAAATGTTCCAAAGTTGGCGGTTTAAGAAACAAGGTTACTGTACGGTCTGCACAGGTATGAACTCTGCGACAACAACTTAATTTACATCCTGCTTATTACCAGCACGTGCACGGGAAATATGAACAGAAGTGTCGAAAATAGTGAACAGGTTAATTTAAAAAAACACTTCCTTGTGGCTTTCTTTGCCCTTTCCTGGGTCAGTTTAGAGGCATTTCCTTGAAGATAAACAGCAAACTGATACAAAAGCAGTGAGTTGCTGGTTTTCTCAGCATCGAAATGAACACATATTTTCCATTTGTGACAATCAAAACTCCTAACAACAAATGATTATTAAACATCTCACCTGTAACATCCCTTCACCTTGATCCTCAATGGTGCCGTAGACGTTGCCATGGAATTTTGTCAGCGTGTTGGTGCTCTTCTCCCACTCGGGCATGGCGGTGACAGCTCTCCTGGTGAAAGACACTGTGCCCGTCGGAGCTGGTGGTGGGATGGAACAGAACAAACGTGACAGCTACATGGTGCAAAACCCACAACATAATCAAACCCATTGCCCTACTCACAAGGACCGTCCAATAGGTTGCGTGACATATATACGTATACTGACATTCCTTGAAACAAAATGAACCCCGAAATCAACCCTAACCTTCCCAAATCCTCCAATCCCAAGTTGCATAAGTGGATGATCATGAAGGCTTGAGACGGTGTGGCGAACACGTGTGGCTGATTTTGCGGGATGCACATGTCAAGGTCTTGGGGCAAAGTTTAAACGTGAAAGCATAGATACTGCTCCTGGTTATCTTTCACACTGCCTCAATGTACTGGCAGGAACTGCCAGAGATTCTTGGAGGACTGAGGCAGTGGTCACCCCTTCCCACGGAACACATACAACGCAAAATGCAGGATGTTGGCGGACTGAGGCAGTGTCCAATTTTTTACACGGAGGCAGTCTGAGAATTTTTGAAGGACTCAGGTTGCATCCCGGCAACAATTTCTGGGGAATGAATATTCTTTGGCAGGGTGTTTTGGGGGTTTTATTCAGATTGTATACCTTTCAAGGCCACCCTTCTGAAGTAGTTAATGATACACCTCATCTTTTCAGCCTTTCTCATGTTGGTACTGGACTTTTTGGCAGATCCCTCAAATAACCTTGAAGTTCAAAAAAGAAAAGGAATATCTTGAAATTGCGACAGGGACAATTAGTATTAGGATCAAACCATGTCAACTTTAGGAGGCTTGCTATACAATCCAGCTATACAGCAAGCCGGACACATCAAAACCACAGAAATTTGTCATCTTTATGAACAATCTTCTGAGAAGTGACACGAGACTTTCCTTAGAATAATTATTTTTAGATACTAAGACGTGAAAGAGAACCTCCCCGACAGCTCCAGTTTCACAATCTCATGAGATTACGAAAACCTCTGGGCATTTCCACGGAAGAAGAAAAACACGTTGATTGAGAAATTGATGTACTCAAAAAAACCCCAGCTTAACCCTCCTTTAGTTTTACAGCACAAATATGCACAAGTGCCAAAGGTCACTCTCTTGCATGTTGGTGCAGTGCACAACATGACACAGCTGTGCTTCTTTGAGGTGTTTACCAAGTGACCCAAAGAGTGACTTCAGCATAGGAGGGTTAAAGAACCAGTCCTACGCATTACTAGATGTTGGAGATTTTGGTCGGTAGTCTGGTTTTATGCTCAGCAAAAATTTCAATTGCCAAGCAAAATGTTGTACTTGGAAGTTTCACGGAATCAGTCCCGTGCTAAAGCGTGGCCTCTGATTTCAACCAGACTTGAGTTTGGTGGTCATAAACAAGAAAGAACGTAGATTACCATACCTCATACATATTCATGACTGCAAAGCCAATGTATAAAGCATATTAAAACACATAAAACACTGTTTATTTTGGGTTTGTCTTTGGAACTAGTGTGCCAACTTCCAATTCCTTGTAGAGTTAAAATTGACAGGCCATCCTCAAACTATGAAAAAGTTGTATACTGTAACGCCTGAGTTGGTTATTTTGGGGGTCTAGAAATAATAACAGCAACTAAATAATACCAGAATATTTGTAAATATCTAGCAGTACCTGTTATTCAAAGGTGCCAATATATTATCATGATCTATTACTGAAGATGACCCCAAAATGTCTCAAAGCTAATAAAATGCCCCAGGTCATAACCTTAAGGACGGTTCAGACGGCCTTTACCATTATCTATTACTGAAGATAACCATAGTAATGTCTCAAAGCTCATAGAATACCCAGGGTCATAACCTCAAGGATGGTTCAGACGGCCTTTATCATTATCTATTACTGAAGATAACCACAGTAATGTCTCAAAGCTCATAGAATACCCAAGGTGAAAACCTCAAGGATGGTTCAGACAGCCACTATTCTCTTTAGGCTTTACAGACAGCAATACCTGTTGAAGTTGATGTCCGGGAAGCGCGAGTATTCCGATTTTTTCTGCTGGGCGTTTCGCCTGGGGTAGGTGCAGAAGAAAGCGTTGGCGAGGAGTGAGGCAATCTGGAGTTGGGTCAAGGTGATGGTGTGCGACTCTTGTCTCTTCAAAAGAGGGATGGCCTGGAAAAAGAAGGCAAATTAAGGAATTTTAGAGATTTTCCAGCAGGGAAAAAAATAATTGTAAATTTTGATATGCACTTTGCAACTGTTTTACTATCACGAAGTTGTGAGTAAAAGGTTTACGTAAATTTCTCTACTTTTCCTTTTATTTTTTTACCAGGAAGTATAAGTAATTCTTAAACATTTTAAAAAATTTACTGTCCTCATTTACAGAGTATGCATATTTCAAATGCCCTTTATCAAAGATTGCGATAATCAACTCAGGAATACAAGCAAGTAATATGCACAAGTTCCAACCTTACATTGAAGTATGGACTTGTTACACTACACAAAATATTACTCAGTCCTAATAATCCTCGATGTTCCAGCAGGGGATGGGTTGAGGGATGTTAGGCTCATGATGCAACTTTACACGACGTGTAGCTTTGTGGTGAGACCCACAAAGTGAAAAAGCATCACGGTTTCAGTCTCACCTGGGTACAAAGCTTTGGCAGCATCAGCGCCAGTTCCACCATCTTGGGCAGGAGCTGGTCAAAGAAGTGTCTGGCCTCCCTGCGATCGACCTCCTCGGTGAAGAAGTGATGCAGGCCGGCAAAGTTCCACTTGCTACAGTAGCGAGCGTTGTAGGTCAGGATGGCTTCCTGGCGGGCAAGGGCAAAGACAGGGCAGACGAGACGAGGACATTGATGAGGAATACGGGAGGGAATGCATCAAGAAAATGCACGCATGGAGATAGGGTGCTTTGTTACCAAGCAATAAAGCCTGTCACACCATGTACCCATGAAGTAATTTCCAGTTAAAAATGCACAAATCATGTCATTACATGGTTGACCTGGTCTTTTTCTCTGTCCCAACCTTGACACCAGAAAGTTGAAAATGGGCCAAATAAATGGAATTAATAAAAAACTTACTTCTAAATCCCAGGAATTTTGAATAGGTTTGAGGAGCGTGGTTTCAATCAACTCCCATCTGCTCTGAACTTTCTTCTGCCCATTCTGTTGAAAAAGAGAGACACACAAAGAGTACGTCTGAAGTATTCTATACCACATGTGAACATTTCCATAGAAAAATTTCTAATTTGTATTTTTGCATGCCATTTGCATGATTATAGAACAATTTGGAAATTTTATTTTTAGATGAAACTCACCTTGTCGTCCACAGGGTAGAGATTTTCCGGGGAGCACGGCATGCGGACGTGGTGTGCATCCCAGGTATCACGATAAGCATCTGGGAAGGGACGAGGTGGGGCACCAGACCTTATGTGAGGCTGGGGGAGTGCAACAGATAGAGTAAATCCCTGGTTTGAATTTGGCTGGGATTGTAAGCTTGAGGAATTGAACAAATTGAAAATGACTGCGAACGACTTACTACTCCCAACACTGTTTCAATCTTCCTATCCTATCCGCTCCGAGCAGAACAAAAGAGGGCTTGTTTTTGGTACTCGCCGAATAGGCGCACCATGAGGCGGGCAAGTATATGCCCGTTTGACGTGGAGCACATTGAGTACGCGTAACTAATTTATTCCGGCATGTATGGTCTTTGCGTACACACAGAACACGTGCAAGAACCTGGGGTGCACTTCAGCTAGGGCGGACAGTGTGTCAGAGAAAAGCATGTGCACTGTTGGCTTGTAAAGTCAGCTTACCAGTCCAATTTGTCTAGTTCATTACACAAGTTATTTGAATCAGCTTGATTCAAATGGAATTTTCTGACTTCCAAGAGGCTAGTGTAAACTAAAAATATATCAAATATCGTATGGAATTTTGATTATCAGTATAAAACTTGAAATGAAATGTACACTTGGAATATCAAATAGTGACAAGGATAACTGAATCCAAAATTTGTAAGGTTCGGTTTCGGGTATAATGATTAAATGTACGTGGTATTTTTTGGTGAAAAGGGAGAGAAATTACATGCGTTCTTACCCTGAAGAGGACAGTGTGACTGTGGCTGGGCTGGAGTCGAGGCAGCGTTTGACGGCAAGCCGGGGCACGGTTCAATGCTGAGGGATCCACTCCTCTCCATTCGATCCGCGTCGCATCTTTGTTGACCTGAACCTCGTCGTCCAGAGAGGAATGAGGCTCGGAACTGAGGCAAATTTCAGGGGGAAAAAAGGTTATCACAAATGCAGCAAAACAAAGACACTGTGACAGCATTCTGGGATTACAAAAAAGCTTCAGGTTCGGATTCAAAGATCCCTTATGCCTCATGCCAAATGGGCTTCCAGAGCTACAGAACATCTGTTGTCGAGTATAAATCGATATATTTAAGACCAGCAAAAGCTTAGACCTATCTCTAGACATACATGTAAGATATGGACAAGGCCTGATGTCCAAATGATTTGGACTACAATTCAATGAGATTAATTCACAGAATAACGCTGCAAAGCAGTACTTCCATCTTGCTGGTTGACACCTGTCACAATGCAGTACAATACAAGCTAATGGATTTTAAAAATGGCAGATCACAGGCAAGATCAGTGAAGTCAACAACATGGGGAAAGTTTTGAATGACTGCAGCATCCCATGTTGTGACCAAAAGAGGGAGCTGCAAATGTCAACAAGGTACAATGATATGAAGCTGTGTGTGACTGTAATGGAGCAACGGAATTTCAACCTTTTCCCCACAATGCAGCGCAATACTATTTTGTCGCTCTCTAGTGATAGATTAATGTTGGGGTGAAGTGCTCCGATAAAAAGTGTGACTTTAAAGTATAAAAATGCATTGTTGGAAGTTGAATTTGAGTTGCTCCTGAGAAACATAAATGCAACTCTGACAATACTCACTCGGAAAACAGTGGCAAGGATGCATCATACTCCTGTGTCGGTGAAACATCTCCTACAGCGACCGCTGCCTCATCCTCCTCAACTAATGCATTGGCATCTGGACGTGTCTTCTGAGAAACATCTGCAGTTCCCTGACTGGAATGCCCTCCAAGGTTGTCTCTTTCGACAGAGGTCCCTGGGGTAGCTTCCCCCACTTTGCTTCTAGTTCGGTTAGATGGATACGAACGAGTTGAACTCGCCGACGCCCTTCCGCAAGCCTCGCTGTCCTCCTCAAGGTATGCAAAGACGGACTCAAAGTTTCTCCCGCTGTTTGCTACAACTTCACTGCCCGTATTGCTGTTTCCGGCTGTACTTGTCGATGGCTTACTGACTGTGCCCTTGCTGCCGTGAGTCCTTGAGGTTTTTTCAGTCGATTTGTCGGTCACTTCTTCACTACCTTGGTTGCTGTCAGGTGAAGATGGGGCGTCGTGCGGAGGAGTGGAGTAGGGTGACTGGGACGCCCTGAAGCGCCATTAAAAAAAAGGGCAATAAACACTCAACCACTTGCTGACTGTATTATTGGAGGCCAAACAACCTGACTTTGAAATACAAGCAATACATATCGGCCAAATTTTCAAATACGGCCAAATGCGACAAGTACTGATGCTTGAAAGACATTTGTACGATATTTGTAGGACATTTCTGCAACCACATCATTTTCAAGACTCCAAGAGCACAGAAAGCGGTCGAGTTCAAGGTACGGTTTATCTCCACAGATTCCTTGGAAGTTGTGAGCATACATGTCCACCGTATGAGGCTCAGATGGCATGCATGTGGTACTGACCATGTACAACCTTTTTGCATGAGTACCTGATGCAAAGAGAATGGTATTCACACGTTAGTCCAACCTATTTGTCATCTGAGAGGAATACTCGTGTGCAAAGCCCACAGGACTGTGAAAAAATATCAACACCAACTCCCAACCAATTATGACAGACTGTCGGGACCTTGAACAGAAATCACCACCAAACAGTCCAATGAAAGGGCTCTTAAATCTAGCCTGAACCAGTACCCCTCGGTTAGCCAATGGCCAGTAGCAGCAAAAACAGGAAAAAGCTGGTGCTGATTGCTTCCTCCGTGAGATTCCCCAAGCTGTCATACCTCCTCCTTTCGGCTGCGGCAGCAAGCTGTTCCCGTCTCCGCCTCAGCTCTGACGATTCCCCCAGAGGTCGGCTACTCATGCTGCCCTGCTCTACGTCCTCCACCAGAGACGCTTCCACTATGTCCAGAAAAAATACATAACAAGTGGTTAACGATGTGTGTTGGTTTTGTTTTATTTTGCCTTATTTTTTTTTCTTGTGGTTTTTATACTGCTTCATTGTTAATTGGTTAAAAACAGCAAGAGAGGTTGGGTGGCCTTTGTTTCAAATGAAAAGAAAAAAACCTCAAAGGGTACTAGTTGCATGCATAAATACGTTAAGTATTGCAATTTATACAATAACGAGGAGAGAGGAGATTCCAAATTGATAACAAGAGTAATCAAGAGAATTTACCTCATTTTTTCCAACCAATCACTGAGTATATATCACTTCTGTGTGTAGAATCAAGACAGGTGCAATGCAAATCCTAAGGGAGTAAGTCTCTTTTTAAAAGGAACAATTCCTGGAACATTTTCTGACCTTCTCCTTGACTACTCCTGTGGCGTTTGATGCCAACACCAAAGCAATCCTCCAGATTAGTCTGCCTCAGCCGCTTCTTGCCTGATGTCTCTTTGGGTGTCTCCATGAGATGGCGTCTTGTGAGGAGACTAGTAGGAATGCCTGGATGTTTGCTTTCAAGCTGCAGGACAAACAGCATGTAATGAGCATGCCATGCAATATCGTCATTCAATCGTCAAATGAAACAAAATAGGTTAGGCTTGAGGAAAACATGCCCGGGTGAGCAGACAACAAATACGGAACAACATAATAGTCTGGTGCAGGATAACTTGTTCACTACAAGTACTAGGTTATGGAGGAAATGTCTGGTACCCAAACAACCTCTGTTCTCTATTCTCTCCACGGTCATGCCACCATACAGCCAAGTGGTTTATTATTTGAAGAAGTTTGGCATCTACTAACCTAATGTTAACGTCATCAGTCCCAATGCTTCAAAGTGTTATCAACTTAGCTTACATGACTTCAAATGCAATCCTGCTTACAGAAGAGTGAGTCAGCCTAGGTCTGTTTTACATATTTTACAGCACTAAGCCTTGAAGGTTTTGGTATGAGCCTATCACACCTGTCACAGTGGAAGGCATTAGGCCCAGGCCTAATGTCAGTCCTGCTTACACAGCAAGTCTCACTTTTACTTTTAGGTCAAGTCCTATCATAACTCATCCTTTTTCACCTTGCCAAAAAATTGAAACAATTTGACGTTTCTTCCTCTAAATCCTACCAAAATGGTTTTTAAAAGGTGCAAGTGTGTGATACAATACAAAGACAAGCTTGAAAAAAGGTGTCCCCAAATGTAAGGACACCACTTAACAAACAAAAGCGTCAAACTGATACCAATAAACATGATGAATGTCACCCAGTTCACTCCAATCCATCACATCAAGCCATCAAGTCACAAGTTATTGGTTCTTACTTGTCACTGGGCTTGTGAAGATCTGACTCTTCTAGAAAGGCTGTGATTAGACCATGGAGTGGACTAACACGAGTAATATGACTAACATTAGCGTTAGCCTACAGTCGTTTTCCTGGTTCCGGATTGCGAAAATTATTCAGTCAGATTGCTGCTACAAAAATATCCTCAAATTCAGGTGAAATATGGTCAGGAGTCCACCTCGTGTGTTGGAGGTACTACTGAATTATTTTCAAAATCTTAGCTTTTAATTTGAACATACAAGATCAAGGAAAGTGACGAAGACACTTTTCCTAGTTCTGGATTGGTTAAACCAGTTCCGGATCGCGACAAAAACTTTTTCACAAATAAAAGGTAACTACGTGAGAAATCGATTATGCAGCCAAAACCATTATAACAAGCTGACTTTCTAATGAAGAATTTCTTAATTTAGAGAAAATTGTTTCATAAATAAGAATTCCACTGAATTCCAAAGTAAAACCTGCATAAATTTTGACTTGACTTTTCAAGCTGTGTAGCGAGCTATCAACGATACCATCCCCCATGTCGCACAGTTAACGAACCCATTACATCAAGTTCATTTCTCCTCCCTCCATGTAGTTGAGTGCACAACATGTTTTGTGTGATCCAAAACTAGGAAATAATACACATTCACTTTTTGGCCAATTTTAAAAACGAACGGAAACTCAAAAGTCATTTTGATTAAACAGACATTAGATGCACAATTTTATGACTGCTGAGTATGAAAATGTATTTGGAATCACCTGTAGTGAGCGATCTGTCGCCTTGTAAATTTTTGTCCATTTTGGGGGCTTCCGTGATTTTTGACAAACCGTTCAAAAATGTTGAGATGTAAAATGGACATCTGGCCAACATTTCTTTTTTAGAATTTTTTGGGGAGCAAATTTTGTACAAGAAGCCTACATTTCACCATTCAAGCAGAACTTGTCTTGGAATGTAGAACAGAAGGACAACACCAAAGAGGTAGGTTTATATTTCAAGCGATCCGGGACTAGGAAAACAACAGAAAGTTGTGTGTGTCGCCACTGCCGGTTGTTTCAACCATTCCTTCCTCCATGTTTTGACCATGTCAGGATTTTTTTTTTCTTTCTAAATTCTAATAAAGTAAATGTTTTATGATCAGAAAAACACAAAACAAACATACATCAGAGTAAAAGCATGAATCACACAAAATTCAGGAAATAGGAAAAACAGGAGATACGTAGAAAGTTTATGAGAGGGGGCCATGAAGAGATGTAGAAAAATGGTCACTATACATGTACATTTGAAATTCTACAGACATGACAGAATAAGAATTGAAATTGTCCTTTTTTATAATGAAGACTAAGGGTTTGATTTTTCACAGAAATCTTATAATCTACTTGTCCATATCATATTGATTTTGTACAATCTTAACCCTGAAGAGGAAGTTATTTGAGTCTGGAATTTGCATCTGTATAAATAAAACTTAGTACGAAGAAAAACATAAGTCAACAATTTATTATGGAGAACATCAAAAAAGAATGTTTGGATGTTTGATAGATCCGTCGGTAAGTAAGTACAGTAGGCTAGGCCTAACTGTAACAAACCTGTGCTACATATACGCAGAATTCAACATTCGGTTCAGAAAGGCTATCAACGGTTCCTTGATTGAGCTTGAATAATATTCGTTTCAAAATCTGGCTGCAGGCCTGCACACAAAACCAGCCAGCAAATTTAACAATTTTGATAAAGCAATTCCCCGTCTCACACAATGTAAAGAGTCACTGTCAACGGCACCTTGACTAGACTGCACACATACATGTATGCATGCTGGGTCAAGGGTTACTGTTTTGCAAGGCAGAGGGCGCTAAACAAGGTTACCGCCTTCGGCAGTTTCACACAACATGCTGGAGAAGCCTTAGTTTCACTTTCAATATTGGCTTTTAAAGTTCGGGATACCGTTCTATTCCACTCTCTCAAGGTGCATGACTTTGCACAGACAATGAGAAATGAGAACCAACATGTGCACGTGAGGCTGGATAAGGACAGATAAACAAGATTTCTCTAGATTCAATATTTCATATAACACTGGTTCTAAAGAAATTTACAGGTCACCGGGAAGCTCTGAAACGATAGGGCAGTCACGGTGGGTACTAGCAAAGGCGCTGAAATGCACTTACACCGTTATGATATTGTGTTTGCACAGAGGGTCCCAACTCAACTGAGGAATGCAACAACTCTTAGCAACATAGAGAAACTTGTTTGTCCACTGCGTACCCTGAATGGACTGTTTTTAGAGCTGAAATGTTTAACGACAAAAGGCCGATCGTTTGGGGTTGCCACCACTAACAAATCCGAAACAAGTTTGCTAAGGATGTGAAGTGGCAGTACTTAGCATAAGGTCTACACGGTCGTTATCTTAAACAGTTCGGAAAATACACTTTAAAAAGTCTAAACAGCGCAGTAGACTGATCATATTTTCTATAATTATGCCCATGAACAGTAGACCATCTCAGCTCCCTGCATGGGGAACATACATTCCTCTGCTGCCGTTTCGGTGCAAATATTAAACATAGCAACCATCTTTACGCTCACGTGTACCTGTTACTTCAGGTGGGACAAAGTAATAGCACTGACGGACTCCAATCTACATGCGCTAAACGAAATGATTCTACAATGAACATTCAGATAATCCTACAAGTTTCTTTCGCCTCCTCACTTATTTCGGGGGTCACGATCCAGATGCCTTCAACTTTCAAGAGAACATAAATGAAGTTCCCACTTCTTAATTGGAGACTTTTAAAAAAGAATTTAATGATTCAGATCACCTTTTTGGATTCACTTTTGCCCATAAATTATTTACATCCCTTGGTAGTGGAGTGTTTGCTTCTCTCGTCCGTGTCCGCGATACAATTCATCCGTATGTAACAGTTTTTTCCCCTGAAGTTCTCTTAGCAAACACAGGTAATTTGAAGAGCCCTTGTAACCAGGAGAAGGGAACGCTGTCGAGGTATGTTTAGCAGCCTGCTTGCAGTTTGTGTCAACAACTCTTTTTTTCTAACAAGCATTAAGAGATGTAAGTGTTCCTCTTTCGGCAACTAGTGGAAGCGGGTAGCAGCATTTGGTCTTTTGAGAGAGAGACAAAACCCCGAATGATTTGGTTGACCGGCTATGGGCCTAAGTGAACATTCCAAGTTTGGAAAGGTCACCCGCTCCTCACAGCAGCACATGAATGCATCGTGTCGTCACTGACTTTCAAGATTATAGATTTGATGATGCGTGTCCCTGCACAAGCAACCAACCAGTGAAAATTATAGTCCGACGGGGCAGTGTCTGTTTTTCAGTCCAGAACCCACCACATCCTGGCTGGAGCTTATATACTAGAAATATGGATCAGCATGCCACCTTCTGCGAAGTTTGTGATTATGCAAGCTTTCAAATAATGACGTGGGCCTTGTTTTTAGGATATGCCAACATGACAATGTTGGTCGGTTTGAACTACATTATGCATCCATGGTGAACATTGGTCACGAACGGATAAAGCTGAAAGTGCACTGACAAGTGCACGGACCCTCTACAGTGGTGGAGACAGTTCACAGTTTACAGTGCACCACCAGTCACGTAGGCTGAGTACAATTACGATTTCCGGGGGTGGTCGCTACCCCCCCCCCTTGCATCCCAATTTCTTTTCAGGACAGAACTGGATTTTGATTTAAGTCCATCCATACGGAGCGGCAGGCATCAGTCGGTACACGGTACGTTACCTAATCTACATGTACAGGCGGTGCATGTTCGCCAGGGGCCGGCCGCATGCGCACTTTGCCAACTAATTTCAAACGTCCCCCCCCCACACTGCAGCGAGGTTAACATCAACTATGTTCGTGTTGGCGTTGCCATGGCTACCGTTGGCTTCCCCGCTGCGGTTTGCGACCTTTTACCTTCCAAACATAATTCCGTGGGGGTTCAGAGCACAGTAGTTGGATGAAAATCCTTCACAGCCGTACGGAAATGTGCGCTGTCAACAAAACAGAGACTATAGCCTACTGGTTACCGGTCTTTGTTCTGTGTCCAGTCTCTGAAACGGCGCCAAAGTAGTTTGATAAGTCGAACTTTAGAACCAATAACTTCCTTTGTTGAGTTTGTTCCCGTCAAGTCCTTGCCAAAGCCGAGGGTTTTACGACTACCAAGCTTCGTGGGGACGAGCGGGTCACAGTGCTGCTCCTGGATTGCTGAGATAAGAAGATAAACATTCAGCTAACCCGACCCTAAAACCTACTCCGTAGCCGAGGGGTGTTACACCTGAGTGCGGGCATGGTGCGGCTACAGCCCGTTAACCTTGCACACAAAACAACACAGAAAAAAATTCCCCTGGAAGGGTTTTGTTCCCCCGTAATAAATCAAGGAAGCCGTCGAGTATGCGGAAACCCAGACACAACTCATCATACCGTATCCAGTATGAAAGAAATGGCTGCCTGGGGCGCCGGGGCGGGTGCGATCGTGTTTAGGGTCATCATTCAATGTTGATCCATCGCGCCGTGGAAACTGATGTTTGAACTCGATCCATATCGATGGTGTGCGATTTACGAACTTGTTTCGAAGACAAATTCGTCGTTGGCGGAATACAACTCTGTGCTCGTCTGCAGCGACGTAAACTACTGGAGTAACCGGCCTAGATGACCAAACCAACGAAGTACTGATCAATAGACACGCACCAAACAGCGAACTAAGAAGGTGTGGCATCACCCGCTATGATATATGCGGATAATGTTTACTCCATTTGTAGGACCATCAGGACCTTGAGTTTCCACGTTGTTCAAGGAACTTCTTCATTCTTAATCTGGACTTCATTTGCGGCGTACCAGATTTCTACCGACCACTGCGTATAAAGTTTCGGCTTTACTATAAAGATCAAGATATCAAATGCTCAGATTGTCAGGATAAACCAGTTTATTTGGCTTCGTTACTTTTTGTCGAATCCAAATCACAGTCACCATGAATAGTTCCGATCCTTACGTGCGGGACCGTGGAATTATAACCACTCGTGACCGCGAGGTGTCACTGCAGCTCCACCGGAAGAATTCCATGCAACGGGAGCAGCTGGGCAAACAGCTGAAGCGTCTTGACAAGGAGCAGCAAGAATGCATCCGGAGGACACACATGGAGAAGTGCGCCATCTCCCGGGACCAGAAGTGCCTGGTCAGCGACCTCAACAAGTTCACTTTCTCTCAGGACGACCCGCCCCTTGCAGACGATGCGTTCGTGGACCAGCAGGCCAGAACTGACGAGCCAACGAGGTCTCCGCCGGCCGTCAGACGAAAAGAGGCGGCCACAGCGACGCATAAAGCCAGCACGAGGCGCGTCTCGCTGCCAGACGAGCTGCACGACCCGGGCGCTTCCGAGGCGAGTACGAAGGACAAGGAGAGATTCATCGACCAGAAAAAGAATCGAGAAATCACCAAGCTGAAAAAGGCCTCGCTGAGGATGGAATCAGGGAACAAAAAAGACTCAGACGAGAGAAAAGGTAAACCGAATATACCCATCAATGCCTGGTACCATGACAACCATGCCAAAGCGCGGGAAAGATCGTCCTCGGTGTTCGATCGTCTGTCAGAAGGCAGTAACCTCAATTCAATGTCCTCGGAACAGTTCCTGCAACGAGTGAGAAAGCAAAGGAGTCACACCCTACCCCCAATATCAACACGAACAAGAACTGCTGAGCGTAGATAGGGGTACCTCTTGCCGCTGATCTCTATGCCAAAAAAAAGGGGGATAGCTCATTAGCCATTCTGAGCAGTACTAACAGTGAAACTCTGCACTGGTTCCCAATCCCTCCATTTGGAAGGTGGGGGGACACCAGTCTTATCATCTCAGATCATTGAAAACAAATCTTTACAAACCTACCGATGGTGGAGTACACCTAGTAATATGGAAGACGACAACTTCACGTTTTCAGTTGTCTGTCACTCTTCTTAACGGAGATCAGCTGCAAGTGTCCGTCGATTAAAGAGTAGCTGCAATGGAATTTACATCTCAGTTAACCTCATATTCAATTTTTGTTTCACTATTTTAAAGGGTATTTTCCTTTTTTTAATGCCGGTTGTTATATCCATATTTGTGAGCAAACTGTAATGTCATCCCAGGAAGAGAATCTCAATGTTGTATTGGTTTGTACACATAAAAGCTGAATTTTTGTTAGAATTTACTGGCCTCAAATTTTTCTTGGATGATTCATTGTTCTTTAAGTACATAGCAAAAGGCAAGCATGCATGCCTTTTCTCGGAGATGTTTTCATTGAGTTAGTCATTGAGTTAGTTTTGGGTTTACCATTTGAACAGAAAAATCTATGCACGGAAGTATGTCTTCCCTAGATGACATCACAGCAACAGCGACCTCAATTGTCCAGGAAAGCATGGGCAATTTTTGAGGTTTTTAAAAATTGCACTTTTCAATGCATTTAACCAAAAAGGGATGTCAAATAATTTTCATACATTGGAGAAGAGTATAAAGTTGCAGCAAAATTAGGGCTAAAACAAATCCCTTTCTGCTACACTTTAGAAGTAACCGAGTTACAGAGTTCACAGGGTTGGTTGTACTTCCCATGCTTTAAACTTTATGATTACCTTGCGGAGCCTTCGAGTGGATCACCGGCGAAAATGCTTGTGTTAAATTACCCTACATCAAATTTATTATTTTAATATTTTTGTCTATAAGTCGCCAATTCATTTTGTTTGCAGATCTTATACACTTGATTTGTATCGTGTTTTTGCACAATTCTCGGTACGGTCTAGTCACAGGACATCATTATAACATGATAACTCAACTGTGTAATTGGTGCGAGGTATTAAAATGAAAATGGGGTCACTGGTGTCGTTACAAAGTTCTCAACTCCATACAGAATTTAAGTTACCAATTTTTTTAAAGGCCAGGAGGTTACACAGATTAAGTCTCCTCCCTATATAATGCGATCCAAGGAAATCTTGTCACAGCACACACACAAAAAGGAAGCACGATACCAACTTGACAAATTATTATGGCTTCACGAAATTCGCGTGTTTTATGTATATATTTCTTAGCGTGTTGAGGGGCCGACGGTACACTTTTTATGGCGCTTGACGGGGTCCAGTCTGCTGTAACTCAGTTCATACTTTACGTCAAGTTATCTCGGAGTGAGTTCAGTGAATTTGCAGTATTCCACAATAGAATGGAATTCGCTTCGGTTTAGGGTTTTAGCGCGAAGTGTGAACAGATCCAATAGGCCCAATACGCCTTTCTCAAACTAATTTTTATCTTGAAAAGGCGCAATGTCTCGTCGCTCAAAATAAATAATTCCAGAGATTCATAATTTCAGCATTTTGAGCCCTCAGTAATAAGGTTCTGTATACCATGGTGATTTATTATTGATGGGCTCATAATTATGGCGTTTAGTTTCAACGAGATTTATGTTCAGAGAAGGCGCCATAAACGCTTACATTTTCTTGTACTTGAAATCTTATTACAGGATTTATATTTCTTTATTACAAATTATGTAATCTTTTATGCAGTATGTACATAATAAAATATTGGAATCATAATTATACATGTAGTGGTAGCAACAGGGATTAATTGGTGAAAGGTGACCAGCCTTATCAGCCATTTTAAAGAGATTCACTGTGTATTGCATTATAAGCCATACACCACTTCAAAAACTGAACAGTTCGGTGCAAATCATGCCTCTTTTCCCGCGCCTAATTAGACCCACTGCAAGATTTTGGAATAACCTCAAGTTTCATCTCAGTCTGGGCTTCATCACATTTTCTGTAACCAGTTTCGAATAAGGGTTTATAGTCTGAACCAGATATCATGATACTATTCTGGGACTCATTATTTGTGACAAGAATATGTCTCTGCATCAGGAAATGATGGAGCTGAACTGAGTTGGAGGGCCAAGGCTGCATGTTCCTGAGGGCAAGGGACTCGCGGCAGTAAACTGACAAACGTTCAAACGCTGGAGGGGTCATTTCCGAGGTGTTTTCAAGCAAAGTGGTTATTTTCACCCCTTTTTTCTTTTTTGTCTTTTTCGTTTCTTTTTTCCCCTCCCCCTTTTTTTGTAAGGGAGCGTCTGCCCCCACCCCCGAGCAACGCCCACGGCCCCAATCAGGGGACGTAATGGACCAAACCCTGAAACTGCTGGCGAAGACGAAGCCGGGACTTGGACAACCTCGGACTGTGGGACTGTGGACGTGCTTACCGCGGTTTTGCGTATAATATTTGTCTATATGAACATGTCATCGCCAGAACAATTGAAGTGAAAATACTAGACTAAAGTCCCTCGAGACATCAACAGGCTGACGGATGAAATAACCATTTCATAACCGAAGCTCCCCTTTCCGGAAAATCTGATGCATTAAATGTAAAATGCATGACGCACGTAATCCACAGAGGTGAACAGAAGCAAAACTGGGACAGTAAAGAATAGATCATAAAATTGCCAAATCTGCATTGTGAAATAAAGAACTGAAACTATTGAATAATTTGTTACAAAAATATCAGCAAATTTACTGTTACCTTACTGGTGGCTGCATAGACTTATGTTGTAATTAAACCTGAACTGGACGAGAATTTTGTGTTACACAAGACTGACAAAGCCTTTGGCTATGCACCTGTGATATCTGTCCCGACTTCAAAATGCCGTTGCCTTGACAATCTTCAGTCATTCTCATATTGAATCCATCTTGAATTGCCTCATTACGATATCATGCTCATTAATGCATTTCCCCTTCTAATTAAGGGGAGTGTTTAGGTCGAGGCGGTACAAGGAGAAAATCCACGTGGCATTATAACGACTGATCAAAGGTTTCAGAAACTCCGTTTGTGACTTCATCGGGAGAATATTAAAAGACAATACAAAAGATCGACTCATGGGGTTGGGAGGAATAAATAGAAAGAATGGATAAGAAGACAGTAGGTCCCATCTCCTAGGAAACGATGACATCAGCCTGATGATCTGCAACACCCTGAATCCCTGAAACTGAGATTGCCTTGAGTCACACAAAAAAAATTGAAATTCTTATCAAAAACGGTGGATTGCATGGACACATCTGCACTGGCCATGTGGAACTTAAACTTGCATGAGAAGGGATTTCAATTCCATCAAGACATAAATCTTCCATGTTAATGGACAGATAGAAACGTAGTTTTCAGACTCGTGTTGACAATCACAGTCATGCACCTGGCTGAGGGGTACTTTGACATCCGACGACTGTTCCAAGTGTTTCATTAAAGATCCAACAGTTGCAACTGTTTGATCTTTAATGCAACATAAAATTCATAGGACTAACAATTATACATGCAACACTCGAGAAAACACAAAATGTAGTAATAAAGTTCACGTATAAGATTATACTGACAAACGGTTAAAACTCATGAAATAAATATAGGACTGCGACTGGAGAAAGTACAAAAGTAACTGACATCATCACAATAGAGCAACACAAAAATGAACCAGATACACTTGGTACATGTACAGTAAAGAAGTGAAAAATGGCATATGGTATCTGTGTTAGAAAAGAAGTTATTATATTCTCAAGAATATTCCACTTTAAAATTGGATTGACACCTTAGAACAAAATTGGATTATTTTGACATCAAAACTGACCAACAATAGACAAATCGTGTGATAAAAAAAATCAACATAAAAACAATCAAGTATAAATCAGCCATAAAAAAACTCTTTTATCTAATAAAAAGCAGTAGTGTTGCAAATAGGAAAATTTACATCGGCTAAAGAATTTGATCTTAAGCAACTGATAAAATAAGCCTGCAGGGTACAGGAGAAAAAAATGCTTGATTACTCAAAAGTGTGGTTATACGAATGGTATGGTTACTGTTTATACCTTTGAGTCCTCGAAAGAGGAATAATTAAGGAGCCGATGAGATTGTCTGAGATTACGACCAGATGCAGACTGGCGAGATGGAGGCAAAAGATGACGGTGCCTTTCTAACTCAAATAGAGACTGACCAAAGCTCACCGTTAACTGCTTACCTCCAGCATAAGAAAGCAAATGAGGATAAGCTATTAAACGCAGTGTTCATTTCTGCACGCGTTCAACACAGAGTCTTCAAAATAACAGTTGACCAAACAACAGCCCCTGATTCTAAAACGGGAAGAACGTGCATTTCACAACCAGAAAAAAGTCTTGAACAGCAACACCATTAAAAAAACTACTCATGATAAAAAGCCGTCGGGCGAATTAGTGTTGGTGATGATACGCTCAACCGATTGGTCCCATTTGAGATCGTTTTGAATAATTGCACCAAGACGTTTTATAGATGAAACATACTGGAGCTGGGTCCCATTGATAAACAATGCGAGAGGAGGGGGATAATTTCAAAGACACACTGAAACCATTTTTTACATGGATAAAACCCCACGAGGGGCAAAAACAGTACGGTACTTCGTCTAGAGGCCATTTTTGGGGGGGGGGATCTCAAGGATTCAGGCAGTGCGTGGAGGCCTTTAGGCCCTATGCATTCTTTTGCGTAACACTCCCACAATGTGCAACTTCCCCGTTCAGTTACATGACGCACATTGTAACCTTGTCATTTTTAAAGAACGGGAGGGGGAGTGGGACTGTAACTCCACCCCTAAACAGAAATGGGGCGAAGATGTGATTTAATCATCAATCCGTGTTGCGTAAACTATGCCAACAGAGAGGAACCAGTCTGGTTCTCGGGGGAAAAAAGATTCCGATTATTTAGGGAGACCAATAGGCCTATGTAGGTCCTTTGGCGCTACAACCACAGTCAAAAACGGGAGGAATTTGTTTTCAAACGTTTTCAAAATTTTACTTCGGGTGTTTTGACTATTTGGCTTACTGCGACGTTTGTGCATGGTTTGATGATATGGATTTAAAAACTGACGGACACGT